TATACATACTATGTATATATGAAATATGTGTACACAATGTATATATAAAGTACACACAAGTTCAGAGAGGTACATGACTTGAGTGTCACAAAACAATTGAGATACCAAAGTCACTTAACTCCATTACACCATGTTCCTTCCTTTGGAAAGAATTGAGTCCCATCATGTGATTAATATATATGTGTGTGTGTGTGTGTGTGTGTGTATAATATATATATATTATATATATATAATTTAAAATTATATATATANACAAAACAATTGAGATACCAAAGTCACTTAACTCCATTACACCATGTTCCTTCCTTTGGAAAGAATTGAGTCCCATCATGTGATTAACATGTGTGTGTGTGTGTGTGTGTGTGTGTGTGTGTGTGTGTAATTTTAAAACAGTTTTAAATTTACAAAAAGATTTCAAAGAATGTACAGAGGATTCCTGTGTGCCTCCCACCGTTTCCACTATGGTTAATAGTTGCATTACCATGATGATCTTGTCACAACCAATGCCTCAGTATTGATGCATTAGTTTTAAAGCTCAGAGTACTTTATTTGGATTTCCTTAATTTTATCTACCCTTTTCAGGATACCACATTAATTAATTTTAGTCAGCATGTCTCCTTTCTTTCTCTGGACTATGTCAGCTTCTCAGACAGCATATTTTGTAGGACCCTGAAAGTTTTGAGGATTCCTGGACTGATATTTTGTAAAATATCCTTCCAGTTGCGTTTGTTTGGTGTTTTTCTTATAGTTAGACGGAGTCATGGTTTGGAGGGGGAAGACCACAGGGGTAACGTGGCTTTCTCATCACATCATAATGATGGTGCGAGGTCTCAACACCACTTGTCCCTGTTGATCCCTGGTGTGGGGTAGGTCGTGTCTTCCAGGTCTCCCCACTCTGAAGGCACTGTGCCCCCCCTTTCCATACTGCACTTGGAAAGAATCAGTGTGTGTGGCCGATTCTTAAGGGGTGTAGATTTACTCACTACCTCCTCCTGTAGGAGCTTCACTCAGTTTTATGTCTATGGACCTATTAGTCAAGAATATTGGCTCTGCTGCGTCATGTTAATGTGAAAATCTTGTGCAAGAGACGGGTGTTCATATTAATTGAATGACTGTTTACAATTGTCTCTCAGGGTACACTTACTTGCCTGTGTATGTTTCATTTCATCCCTTCATGGTGTATATAATAAACACATTTGGATTAAAGACAAGAAACAAGGCCACTTGATTAAATAGCTAAACTAGAAGAGTTTATTTACTGGGCTTAGTTTCAAATTAGTTGTAAATCTGTTCCCAGAGTTCTTTTAACTCCAGGGGGAAGTGGAATGGGACTTTACGGCTAAATTTACACTGGATGTGAAGAATTTTATAATAAAACAAAAAGAAAATATGAAATCTTTCACTGGTGGCAGTCTTAACACACTTCATATAATTGCTAAACATACTATTTATTTTGTCTAAACTGATGAATTCAAGAATAACATTCTTCTATCAGAATGAAGTATAATTCTTAGACACATTTTAGAGGAGGGGGATTTGGTCATTAAAATGGCCAGAGTAGTAACACTGTAGTTCAAGGTCGGGGAATTAAAAAGTAAGTGCACCCTCCAGAAAATAGGAATTAAACAACGGTGCTATATAAAAGTAAATATGGGAAGCAGATCTGTCTTCCCTCAAACTAATTATATTCTCCATTCATTCATCTCCTTGTAACATAATAATAACTGTCTTGGGTCTTTTAAATGAGAAAACATGTTTGACAGCAGATTTAACATGAGAAGATGCTATATCACACTTGACAGATTTGTAAAAATATTTTAAATTTTGAAAAAAATGTAGTTGGCTATTTTCTAACAACCTGTATTTGAATTCTCTTAGAGTATCTAGCTCTCTTCCATGTACTGGGCTATGGTTCCTCATGGAATTTGTATTGACACTGGCTGCCANCAGATTTGTAAAAATATTTTAAATTTTGAAAAAAATGTAGTTGGCTATTTTCTAACAACCTGTATTTGAATTCTCTTAGAGTATCTAGCTCTCTTCCATGTACTGGGCTATGGTTCCTCATGGAATTTGTATTGACATCTGGCTGCCAAAAGAAGATATTTAGGTCAATATTACAGGGTCAGTCTGAAAAAAAAAAAGGTTCTTCTATTAATAGTTTAACTATGAAATCAATCAAATGAATATTGTAAGTATTATAAAGTAAAAATGTAAATAACATGAAAAACCATGCTTTATAACTTCATTCTTAAACTTTTATTTTCTAGATTTTTAAAGAATGGATTATTCTTAACAAATTCACATAATTATGTAGCATAAACTTCTCATGGACTAAAAACACATGCTTATTATAGATAATGTGATACAGTTATGCAGATATAAAATGTAATGCAACTGTGAAATATACTGGTGACGTTGTCAGAGTTAATCCGGGGAAATTATTTTGCAGTCACGTATAAGGATTCACAACTTAAAATATTGAAAGAAATTAAGTAATAAATGATTTAATGTTTGTGTGGAGCAGTAAATACAATGCAAATATTGAAGTAATGCTGTAAATATCTTATCTGCAGAGTTTTCTAAGAGGCAACAGAAACTATTAATGATGGTGGCTTCTACTCGTGCATAAAATTTTTACTGCAAGCTTACTGACTATGCAGCATGTTGGGGCTACTGAGATGAATGACACTGGGGGCCTACCCTCTGAGAATTGGGTGTTTTCAATTCCATTTATAACAGTTCATAGTCACAATAAATTTTGCTCATATTTCCACCATTTTAGAGTTACTGTATTTTTATTGCACAGATAAATTAATTTGCAAAATATTATACTTCTTTTGAAAAATTTCCCAGCTGCTTTGGCAGTCTCCTCTTGGGACAAAAACCTACTGGTTATATTAATTCAACCAACACCTAGAATTGCATTTAAAAAGTGAACACCCCATGGTCAAGGTCCTGTGCTAAGATAGGAGCCAGGGGGATACCACAAGGCATGAAACAGAGCTTGTCCTTTCAAGGAATTTTATATCAGTTTAGGCACCCACAAGAACTTGATCTAAGAGTATTATTTTTGGGACTCCAAATTCCTTGACTTTATTTTATTTGATAATCACTTTTTATTGCCTCATAAAACTGTAAATATATTTGCATTGTTGAGTAGCATCTGGAAACAGTTGTATATGCAACAAGAGCTGTTATGTCTAAATGACACTCGGGAGATGGAGCATGCAGTCGTAGAAAGAATATTCATTTTGGAGTAAAAAATATCTGAGTTTCACATGTATAGATCACAGCTAATAAGCTCTGACCTTGATCTAGTGCCTTGAATTTTCTGAGAGTCAGTTTTCTGACTTGTAGCATGTAGACAAGTCCTAACTTTCAGAGCATCTGGGTGAGTTCGGTGTAACACATAGAGCTCGTGCACATGCTCGGCAGGAAGCAGGTGTGGAAAACTACTAGGAATTTGTCAGTAGTATAGTAATTCCTGGGCAGTGCCTTATTGTTCTCCAAAGTGACTTTAGCCCTGGCCGGGTAGCTCAGTTCTCTAGAGTGTCTTCCCAATACTCCAAGGCTGCGGATTCGAACCCTGGTCAGGGCACATNCGGGTAGCTCAGTTCTCTAGAGTGTCTTCCCAATACTCCAAGGCTGCGGATTCGAACTCTGGTCAGGGCGCACACAAGAACCAACCAGCGATGCATAAATAAGTGGAGCAACAAATCGATGTTTCTCTCTCCTCTCCCCTCTCTCAAAAAATCAATAAAAATCAATCAATCAATAAATGACTTCACTTTCATTATCCAATGATCTTTTCAGCAACTTCTGAAAGGGAGACATTATCAATTCATTGTTCAGAAAGAGAAGCCAGTGAGTGGAATGATAGGGANCAATCAATCAATAAATGACTTCACTTTCATTATCCAATGATCTTTTCAGCAACTTCTGAAAGGGAGACATTATCAGTTCAGTTGTTCAGAAAGAGAAGCCAGGAGGTGGAGCGACAGGGGAATTCGACACGCCCAGGGGCTGAGTCCTGTGTCTTAGCTCTAGGTCCTGCCCTCTCCATCAAGGTGAAGAACTGTGCGAAGCTGACATTGCCTTGAAGTCTACATGTCCCCATCTGGACATCGAGGGCATTGTGCTGACTTCCCTTCCCAGTCCTTTCGGTGGTGTGCACACTGAGAGTCAGTGAGTGCAGCTGTCAAAGGCACGGGCGTCGGAGAGGAGCTCTGGGGTTCAGGCCCCAGCTCCGCCACCCCTTGGCTCTGAGCTCGGCCAAGCTGCCATCTCTGTCTCCTTGTGCCCATCACTGCGGGCTGGTAAACGGTACTTTCTTCAGAGCACCACCTGTGAGGAACAGATGACCTGTGCTGTGCAAGGGCCTTAGGATGGGGTGTGGCGTATGGAAGCTTCCCATGAGGACTGGCCCTGACCATCCTGCTAAAGCTGTAACAGCCGAGCCGGACTCCAAGGGAGCCGTTTCACCTTTTCTAGGTACGGAGTAGATTTGCTTAAACAATAAGTGGAAATCCCTCGGCCTGGGTTTATGGCTCAACTACATTGCTGTCTTTAATTCTATATGCTATTTATAAACAAGCCCAAGTTTTATTTCAAGAATGGAAACGCTCATTAAAATCTATAAAACATAGACATACTGGGACCTGTAAGACAGTGGAGTCAAGATAAAAGTCATAGGTAAATATTTGGCAAATTGCTTAACAGGATAAAAATGGTTTTATTTCCCTCATGTGGACTTTTACAACACACTGGATAAATATTCGTGCCTAAATTACTGTTTAATAATATCACAGTGTTTACTAATTTAAGTAGAAATTTTATTTATAGCTTCCATACTTTAATTTTGCTTTGTAAGGCTTTCAGACAGCTGCCATTTTTCAAAACGACGACTAGCACAGTGCAAAGAAATAAAAATAAAAAAATAAACAAACCCTGCTTTCAGTCCATTGTTCCTTCTGTATTCACTCTCTCTCTCTCACCAGGTGGCATGCATGCAGTGGGTTCATGGAGACCACACCATGCTTGAGATGATTGAGAAAAAGCGTTGCTTGTGCAAGGAAATCAAGGCTCGACAGAAAACGGAAAAGGGCCTTTGCAAGCAGGATAGCATGCCCATCCTGCCCAGCTGGAAGAAGAACGCAGGGGCCAAGAAGTGCAGCCCGCCGCCCTACTCGAAACAGCAGACGGTGTTCTGGGACACGGCCATCTGACTGCGCGCCAGGGGACTCGGGGCGCGGGGGGGATGGAGCGCCAGCTCCTCCTGGGACACCATGGGAAGCGGGGCCTACTCCGGGCAAGTTCCAGATGAAATGTTTATTTCCTTGCAGCTAAGGCACACTTATTTATCACGGATTATTTTGAATCCAAGGAGAGATTAAGATGTACATATTTTACTAATTTATGGGTGACACCTGAGATAATCCACATTATACGTATATAAATGACAGAAATATCAAGAGTTTTACTATATGATATAATTTCGGTATTAACTGGTTTGTTATCTCTTTTATATATGTAATCCCTTGATGCCTTTTCTTATTAATTTTTGCAGTTAAAATATTTTTTTCTGCCCGCACTTGTCTTCTGTCCAAGAGCTCACAGCTCTAAGTCACACTCAGTCACACAACATGCGATCTGGTGCTAGTCGGGTCCCCGCCGGACGCCATGCACACCAAGAACACCGGCGGGGACCGAGTGCAAGAGTGACGCTCAGTGTGGACGCCACGTTGCTCAACACCGACGGTCTCGCTGCTCTGGCTTCAGCAGAATTTCTCTTCGGGACCCTCTCGATGCTAAGCGATGGTCAGTCAGGCTCCAGAGAAGGCGGTTAGGGTACATTTGGACATCCCAGCAGAAAACATTTCCTTCGGAAACGACGTTAGGGACACGCGTCCTTGCATCATTGATCTGATTGGAGGAGACCAGGGTTCACTGTGACAAGGGAAGGAACAAGGAATCGAAAGCCAAATAGCGCGACTTCTTTCAGGAAGGTGGGGCCCGTGGCGCTGCTGTCAATGTGACCGCGATTTCTAAGTCACTTCTCGCGCGTCTGTTTGTCCCCCCTCGCCCAGAAAATGAGAAGTAAACGTATAACCAGATGCGTTTACAGGTTTTAGTTCACCATATGCCAATCTCCCTCAAGAGTTGGGCCTGTTAATGAAATGGTATTTCTTGTTCATCTTATCAACCTAGTCATTACCACTTTTTGGGTCGCTATTTTCTGTGCATGATCATCACACCCATTCCCACTGATTACGACACCATGACCAAAGAATTATGGCCACTTGTTTATTTCGTTTTGTTTCAAGGAAGAAACAGGAGGTGCAGGGGATCGGGGAAGGGGTGGATTCCATTTTATGTGGTGGTGAAACTTAAGTTAAACAAAGCATATATATATCTTTTAAGAATAGCCTCTTAGTTGAATATAAATATTGCCACAAAGGATAAAAAGGAAACTATCGCATATATTTTGTATATTTAAATGACTATTTATGCTTCCTAAAATGGACAGTATGTGGTTCTTCTTTAACAATCAATCGAGTATTATATTTCTGAGAGACAAGGTATGTGTTTGAAGGTATTGTCATAGTGGTTTTCCTTGTAAGGGTTTTGACAGCAATAGTGCAGTGTTGCTCAAGAAAACCAAATATAACTGGAGTTAGGGGATTTTTGTAATCTATATTCCTAAAAACCTAGTAATGCTTTATCAGTCAGAGTTCCTTTCAAGCCTTTGAAATCTTATAAGATAATTTTTTAATATTTTATAATTAATGTATATTTTGATGTCCAATTAGAATTCTGAAAAAAAAAGGGAAACAGGTAAGTGGGAGCATGTGTATGTGTCATGTGTGCGCGTGTGAGCGTGAGTGAGGACTCATTGGGAGAACTGTATACATAAAATGCTTCCTCAAGTCTTAGGCTTTGCTTGTGTACATGAGGTGGTAAAAAAAAGAAAAAATGCAGAATCACAGGTTCGGGAAATCACAGAGGGTCTTAAGGAGCTTAAATAAACCCTGTTGACATGTTTCACCAGTTAGGAAAGCCAGTAACCCATGGGACACAAATCTGAGTGATAAAAATGTGTTACGATAAAATCAGAATTAAAATAAAATGTGTTTATGACCCAAGTTGTTCTACTGATCTAAGTTATTAGGACCACATACACTCCAGCCATTCAATCAGACATAGACATCAGATCATCTTGGTGATGATCTTGGTGTATGTATATATTCAGGCTCCTTAGGGTCATGACTGGATAATTCCCTTGAACTTTGTATTTAGGTAACATATGCAAGTGTTTTTTCCAGACGCTGATCTTTTCCATATCTCTCTGAATTAAGCAGAGGATATTTTGTAATGCTGCCACTTGTCAAGAAAGAAACAGAGATACTGAAACGGCTTGGGCTGGATTCAGCCATTCCCATTTGTTCTGCCCAATGCATGTTATTTCCAGTTTCACATACTCCTTTTTAAAGTAGGTTAATTTTTTAGAAAGGTAACTTGTTTGAAAATCTGATCTTAGGCAATCGTTTCCATTTGATTTCTCCAAATCTTGTTTTCCATGGGAAGTAATGGAAAGATCTGGAAAAGTGGTTCACGGATGTTGACTCAAGAACTGTTATTATGTGCCCATCCAACGGTCTGTCCTGGCTTAGCCTATATGGCAATAGCCTTCCTATGATGAATTTCCTCTTAGTATATGTTTCTTTATGTGCAGGAAAAAGGTGGATAGAATAAAGAAAAAAGCTTACTCTCTAGTGGCCGCCAATTAGGACACTTCAGTCTATGAATCTGGTCAGAAGATGGAAAAAGTCCACCTACAGCCAGAACACCATTGAATGACAAAGCTCATATTTTTAGCAGTGCCCAAGAACAAATCTTTTCATGGCATGGTTAGCAGGTGGAAATGGCCTTTTTGCAGCAAATTTTAGAGAAAGAGAATTTTATTGGCTTTCAGCAAGATGCTTCCATATGTGAGAAACTTAGCAGAGAAGAGACAAATCCTGCATTTCTGCCCAACCCCAGCAGCCAGCACATTCTGAGGCACAACAGGAGTCCTCTCCATAACCTCTGCCACCCTTTCTCACATGTTCAAGCTGTTGAAGTGAGTGTAGAGTGAAAAGTCATTGATTTGTGTCAATGGAGGTCAATGTCCACCTATGTAAAATTGCAGGGAAAGTGAAACATAAAATATCTGGAGGTTAAAATTTGTAGTTTTACAGGATATACACCTTCAAATACACAGCAACTGTGTGGATGCAACTAGATAGAACTTCACTTTTCAAAATAATGACCCTGGGACTTCAGAGGCACTAGGTTCCAAACAGTTTTCTTCAAATGCATCCAGAGAGGAGAGAAACATTTTTGTTACCACACTCTGGCTTCAGCCCCATCCTCACACAGCTTTTGGGTTGACTCTTAATGAGCAAGTCAAAAATACTGAACAACCTATTAGGATATCCTTTTAACTAATTAAATAAGCCATCTAAACACCGCACATACAATGCAGTTTCCGTATCTCTTATAAGTTAAGGTGAGTCACTTGCCTAAAATAAAAAGAGCCTGTAAGCTAATTATGGCTACCTGTGAAAATAAGCAGAGTCCTATGATTTAAGCAGTAATCTGACAGGAGAGAAAATTCACCTTTGAGAAGGAATAGAAGTAGAATAGAATAGCAATTTATAACTCATTATGTCCCAAACTTAAATGAAAGTGAAAGAAAAATGGTACTTAGGGTATTTAAGATAATCACCACACCTTCCCTATATGGAAAAACTGATGGCTGACTGTAGAGTGTGGATAATTTGTTATTAATCCATTATTCATTTAACAGTTACTGTTGAGCAACTTATGTACCAGTTATTAAAAAAAAAATTTGAAGCATCTGGCATTAAACATTCAAACGGATGTGGCCCAGCCTTTAAAAAACTTAATTATGCAATCATTAATATTTTCGAAACAAAGCTGATTGTTTTTAAGAAGATATACAATATCACATGTGCTTGACATCACTTATGTGTTTATACACGGTGTTCTCTTTGCTTTCAGATCAAATGTACAGTCATAATAAACTACTAAAACATACTAGCGTCAATGTCTCTGTATCAAGTATGTTTATGTGTAAGCCTCTACATGTGCACATAGGATCTGTCCCACTATCTATCAGTAAACCAGTAAGAGGAGAGCAAGTTTTGTTATGTTGGACTTGAACACTATTGCTTGGGGTTTAGAGTCATTTAAAACCTTTTGATATTTGAGTCCATTATCAGAGCAAAATGTGTTTAATCTAGAAAAATAATGTCTGTATGTTTCCATTTAAATGTTATATAATTTCAGATTTAAGGGGAATCATCATTATAGAGGTACTGTTGGGTTTCTCTCCCAAGCATCTATGAAAACCTTTTTCAAGTGTTCGGTTCCCAAATGCGACTGGGTTTGTCCACCCTAAAAGCATCTGCAGTTACACGTGTATACAGCCACATACAGTATACATACTGTATATAATATATAGGAAAGTGTTTAGTATGCACCGCTTTTGTTCGGACTCCTTAAGTTGACATTTGTAGTGTAGCGATTTGTGTAACGTGCACTGTGATTATAAAAATCAAAGCACAGTCAAGTCACAGGTCTTGTTCTCTTGCACTAAAAATGTGTTTACGTATTTAGCAATTGTATGTTTACTTTCTTGCTCTTTTCAAGAGATTGAAACAAATAGCTATGGAGAAAATTATATAAGATATGTTTTTTAGTGGATAATGGCACTACATTTTTAAAAGACAGGGTTTTTAAAGGAAACCATTTAACATCCATTCCAACAGAACATGTTTACCGTATCTAAAAACCTGAATGTCATATTGCATTTTTCATAACTCATTAAAAATGTCAGGTATGTGCCTGAAAAATTGTGCAAATAAGCATTAGATATAACAGATTTCTCTACTCACGTGTTGTTAGCCATTTCTATATACGTAATAATATAAACACTGATGTTTTCATTTCTCTTAATTTTTGTACTTGATTTTTTTAGGTAACTTGTAATTATAAATGTACTTTGATACTACTGAAGTAACCAGATGTTGTTTGAAAACGAATTGTTTTCTTTAGTGCATTGGCAATATTTTAAATACTTTTGTGCTTATTTATTTGTGCTCCCGTGTAATTATAATAAAAGCAATAGTTTAAATTAATTGACTTTGTTGTTGCTGGTATT